AGAAGGATACCTCGCAGGTAGTCCAGAGGCAGCAGGAGGCTCTGTGTAACCGCCTCTGGAGTCTGGTGCGCATCAAAAGCATCAGCTTCTGCAGCCCTGAAGCGTAATTAAGAACAGCATAACCCAGAACAAGCAGCTGTAGATGAAAACAAGTCTGAATTTCTAAATTTGGATCCGTTTCCTAGCATCTGATCCAAAGAACTTGCACTCCCCCACCTCCTGTCGTTGAACGGTTGCATCTTAATTCATTTTGTCTTAATTCCGTTACCTTCTGTTGGCAGTACTTTCCTAGGTGTCCTCTTCTTGATCTTCATCAGCAACACAGCTCAACTTAAGTAAATTAGTCACTGCACGCACATGAAGTCCATGGTGGCATGGGAGAAAACTGTGTCCAGATGGCACCTGTTACTACTGCTCCCTTGGCAGGGGGACCTCTGGCTTGAGGTCCATCCAGTCCTGCGTGGTTTATGAGAATGCAATTCTTAAGAGAGAGAAGGGTCCTGATTTTTAGAGGAGTTACAATGCCTACATATTTTTTGCAAACCACACGGGCAGGTAAACGAGAGCTGTAGGGAGGAACTTGTGGCAGTAAGGATGATAATAGGTTGCCAAAAAACCCCAAGGTACGATTTTCACATTATCGGTTGGGCAAGTATTAGATTCGCAGCGCTATTTATGCAGCACCTTCTGGGTAAATATGTTTTATAACTCCGTATGCGCTTGCAAGGTAGAAGGCTTAAGACTAGATTTTGCATCCAAATCAGAGAGAATTAGACTTCTTTGAAAATATCTTCCAGTGTCCTTCATCCTTTTGAACTGCCTTAATTCCATTAAAACCTGGCCCTAATGTAGCGTGCAGTTATGGCGTGATATAAATAATACTACTGCTCAAATGATTACCTATTAAAAATGTTGAATTCCTTGAACTCCTGACTTGGGGGATGCCTTGCCTTTTAGGCAGCTTTCGTGACTATCAGCACAGGGTTTGCAAGGCAGCTTCAGTTCCTAATCTGCAAATTGCTCTGTGTCTTGTTGGGTTTATTCCATGCCTTGTGGGTGATGGTGGTATCAGAAACGGGGGATTATGACTTCTTAATGCAATTACACTGGAGCTAAAGCAGAGCCACGAAGGAGAATGAACTTTTATTCAAACATCCGTCAGCCGTGACATAGACCAGGAGAGATAAAATTGAGATTGAATTACTTTGCTCTGTGATGTTATGTTACCACTGCATTCTCAAATTGCATGGAAAATTTAGTCTGGACAACAGTGCATGACAGGCTGATGAAGATACAGCTCTTTTCCCTTATGTCACCCGATGATTGAATTTAGGAAATGTAGAAAGAGCTTTGCATTTCAAGATTTTCTGTCACATTTTCCCTAGGGTTCTGAGGGGTTGTTTTCAGAGTACTGTGGTGTTGAGTCTTCTGCTGTTTTCTTTTTTATAATCCCAAACCAGCATTTATCCATAAACATGGTGTATTTGTAATTCCAAAATATTTCTGAGCATTAGTACACAGCGATCTCTAGGGTGTTGTGGTTTCATTTGTGCTAAAAGTCTTCAGTAAACCAAAACCAATTGTGTATTCAGTTCTGCGAGCAGTTAGTGACACAAATGTATTCTTCAGATCAAGTGTTATCTCTGTGTACTTCCAGAACAGTCAGCATTGGGATGAATTTCTGGAGTGAACATTCCGGTGTAAGTCTGAGCCCTTCACTTTATGCCCAGTTTGTGCTGGTTTAGCTGTGGATTTACCTTTCACTTCCAGGCAGTTTGTGCTGGGTTGACAATGAAACCCCATATGCTGGTACTGAAAGAAGAGGTAATCCTTTTTACCTTCACAAGGTAAATTTTTAAATTTTTGACGTAGAAAGAAAGGGGACTTGAGTGCCTGACCAGAAATGTCTGACTTCTTAGTTTCTGTGATGCTCACTAGCCGTGAGCAATGCAGGATTCAACACAAAGGTAAACTGATCCCAAAAAAGTCAGGAGTCGGTAGTAAAAAGACCTTTTATAACAGAGCCTTCATTCAGACAGCTGGCTGGAAGCTTCGTCATTGGCAGGCCGAGTCAGTATGAAAGATGGAGGAAGCAGGACAAATTAACCCTGTTGTGTTCTCCCCTAAGAAGAAAGGGTTGCTCATGAAGTTGCAGCCCCTTTTCTAAATAGCAGCCAGCTCCAGCATCTCAGAGTGTTGACCTGGTATGTCAGTTTCATACTGCCTATTTACGCTCAGTCTAAATAATCGTTAGAAATGGAAGTTAAATGATGCTTTCTGAGCTTCATTTTTCTGCTAACCTGTGCCTGATAGTCCTTTACTCCCATGAGTGGTGGTTGTAAGTGGCCCCTGAGTATGCCTCCTTGCTTTTTTATGCTGACTTCTTAGAAGCATGTGTTGCCCATATTTGGAAGCGTTTCTAAGGATAACATATTCCATTGCTTAAAAATTTGCTGTGGAAAAAAAGTCTTTAGCTCAACAGGCTGTCTCCTCCCATGCCAGATATCTCTCTCAGGCCAGTTTTTTCTTCACTAGGGCAAGAGACAAGCTGATTTGCCATCAGTTCACCTTTCTGAGGATGTTCTGGTGTCTTAGAAGCGCAGGCATGGTGCTTCCATCCTTTGGGACCAGAGGCCTGGGTGTGGTCCCTCACTCAACCTTTAGCAAAGAGCTGGCATGTATTTCTGTGACCTGCCCCAGAGTGAAGCGGCCCTGCCATTGCCACTCAGGCTGCTGGAGTTAAACGTTAGTCTGGGAAGAGAATATCCCTATTGCTTAAGGCCCAGGGGAAGTGGGCCTTAAGAAGAAGGGCCTTAAGAAGAAGGGCCTTAAGAAGTCTCTGCCTCTGCAGGACATTGATCGAGTCATTTAAACCAGACAGGTGACATGTAAACACTTTCCAAGGTTGAAGTGGAAGAATGGGCTGTGCTCTTTCAGACCCAGGTTGGTCTCTTTTTGACAGTGATCAGTAAAGCAGGTAATTGTGTGAAGACTGTACGTAGCTCATCTGTACCAAATAAAAGTTGCCCTGGCACCATAGTGTTTATTAACAATGAGTTGGGGTTTTTTTGCACCTAAATGTTGTTTTTTAAACATAGTTGGTTTTAAGGACTGAGCGTATACAAATCAGGCAAAGCTGCCTGTGCCAGCTGGATGAGCAAGAACTGTTTCATACTCTCCATTATTAGACCTTATTTTCAGTTATTTGTACATTTTCCTAACTGAAGGCATTTGCTGTGAAATTTTCTACGCCTTACCTACTGCTGAGAAGAATGAGAAATACAAGGTTTGCTGTTTAGACAGTGATAAAAAACTTCCCTATTGCTTCGATATGCTCTGTGCCTTCAAGCTCGCTCTTGAAACTGGAGAGGAGCATGTGCAAGGGAGAATCGCTGCAGTGATGGGGAAGTGTAGTGTTCTTTTCTTGTGCAGCTCTACCCACACTGAGTGAAGTTACAGCCTTGCGTTCAGTAGATGCTTTTCTGAGCTCAACGCCAATATCCTATACAACCATTGCAGAGGTTGAAGAGCAGAAAGCACCCTGGCACTTCAGGGTGCTGGGGAGACTCCATGCCCATAGAAATGAAACTTGAGCGGGGAACTGCAGAAAGATAGAGTCTTGTGGCTAAAGCTGTCAAATGCTGACTTGTAAAACTAGATTTTATCCCTCTCTCTTCCCTGCACCGCCTGAAGGTTGCAGAGTAAATGACTTAGACCACTTCTCACAGGCACGTCACTTAATGTACCGTGGGGTTTTGTTAGTCTAACCTGAAAAACTTGGGTCTGATTGGCAAAAGTACTTGGTACCCATCATTTTAATCAAGAAGTGTGCTTTGTATATAGCAAAATGCTACAAATCCTAAATAGTCTGAAAATCAAGCTTTGAATGTCTTAAATTAGGCACCTAAAATGGGTGATTCTGATGATTTTTAAGCGTTATGTGCACTGCGTGCCAGCTTATGCTAAGTAAGTCTTTCACTCCTGTAATGATGTATTGTAAGAGGAGACTAAAAGCATATTAAGTTAGGCAGAGTGCTGTAAAAGTTGGGCAGTAACTGCCATCTGAATATGTATGTAATTCATATTTAAATCCATTTTCCTTAGTTCAGATTAAAAAACTGCACTGATGCTAACAAACCCGTTTGGTGCATTAGAGAAGCATCTGTGTACATAGAGAGGTTTTCTATGCAATGTGCTTCTCATGCAGCGGTTCTTTCCTGAGGACATCATCGGATATGGAACGGTTAACTAACATTTAAGTAGATCCTACTTCACTTAACAAAATGTGCACTAACGACCATGTCCTGTCTTCCAGGAAGTTGCACAGCACTAAATCAATACCTTGGCCAAGAAAGAATAGGTGTTAAGTAAATAATCACCATTTCCCCCAATAAATAACTGAGCTCCTCTCTTTTATTTTAATTGAAGAAGACGACGACTACGACGAGCCTCCACGGTGCAAGGCGGGACAAGATATTGTGCTGCAGTCGCCTGTCGACTGGGTGCTTTTGGATGGCCGAGAAAGCTCAGATGACCATGGAATTGTGCAGTACGAGTGGACGCTGCTGCAAGGTGACTCATCGGTTGAAATGAAGGTACACATGCGGTCTCACACGTGGCCAGTCATTCGCAGATTCTTGCATTCATTAGAGCACAGTTTTGAATGTAGAGCTAAAAATAGTGAAGGTAATCAAATGGAAAAGGGTACCAGGCACCAAAATTAGGATGACTGTACAACCTGAGTACTTGTTTCATAGAACCGTAGGGCAGCCCAGGTTGGAAGGGATCTCAGAAGATCATCTGGTCCGACCTTTTGTGAGTCAGGAAGACTAGATGAGATGATCTAGTACCCTGTCCAGTCACATCTTGAAAAACTCTGGTGATGGGGACTCTATCGTGTCACTGGGGAGGGTGTTCCAGTCAATATTTCTAGTGTTTTGTACAGTTCATCGGTACCCAGGATAGCGTGAGACAGCCAGTAGCAAATAAGTAGGTGCTAATACTTCACTGTATTTCAGCTCTGCTTTCTTTTGCTGTTGTTTGTTCTCACTGCACTTGGTTTTCCGCTTCTGTGATCCAGGTTAGAGACACCTCAGTAACTCAGTTACTGAAAATAACAAGGTATTTCCACCATCAGCCTTCTGCCAGTGCTTATGGAGAAACTGCAAAGAAATGTGTGATGTAGACCTATGAGATACCTTGGGATACCATTTTATTACATCTGTACAATTTCTGCTGCAATTGGGTTTCAACTTAAAATTAACCATTGGGAGAAGGATTCTCCATCCTACCCTTCCTTGTAAATGCTCTGGGAGCAGCAGAAAAGGAAAGGAAAAATGTCTCAAACCAATGGAGTCTATTCAGTTTGTTCACAGCCCAAAATATTCAGGGCACACTGGGATCTCCGCCTAGAGCAGGAGGGACACATAAAGGGGAGAGGGTGGGGACCAATAGACTTTACTGTTGCTGAGATATTGCCAGTGGATAGGAAGAGCTTAAACAGGACAGGATTAGCAACGGGAACAGTCCAAAACTCAAGAGTCCACGTGTGCCACTGCCACCGTGAGTGGGACCTGACAGTTGCTGCTTATGTCTGTTCAGCGCGGTAATATCAAAGACAAAATCGCAGCAAAGCTACTCAAGATGTGTAACAGTGGAACAGACCAGAGTTTCACCCAACACAAAGAGCTGAATGCATTGAAACCTGACACTGTCATCCATGGAAAAACCCAGCGGAGCAATTGGTTATTCCTTAGCCTCCCAGAGGGCAGCATAGGTAGTTGAAGATCACCGTGCCATGGTTAGGAAGTATGCAGAAGAACCCTAAGAAGACAGTTGGGTTTCTCTGATGAATAGTTACTGAAATGTATGCACAAGTAATTTGTTATAAACATAGTCCTCACAGAAAACACTGCAGGGGTATTCAAAAGTATTAGTTACGCCAGTGCTGCGTGCTTTTGCAAGTTCTGTCTTCTGCTGCAAGATCTGCATCTTTGGAAGGGTGGCTACGTAGAGTCAGCCAGTTCTGAATGACTTGAAGCTGTATGCAGTTTGAAACTGTCATGTCAAAGACCAATGTGAGTTTGTTTATCTTCATTTATTATTTTAAATAAAATTAAAATTGAAAACTAAAAGGTCAAAAGGCTTTGATAAGGAGTGTGACCAGCATAATACAAAGACTAAGACTTGAATGAAGCTTTAATAATAGTTGCTAGATATCATCTGGATAAAATGAACATTTTATTATCAGGAGTTGTAAATCCAACCCTTCCCACTATTGTTTTCTTTAAATAGCAATTAAATTCTCTTTAAATTAATCTGTGATGTAGTAATATATCCTGTGTAAGACAAAAATTAGAAATCAATTAAAAAATTTAAAGTTCATGTTTTTACTTTTACTCAAAGTCACTCCATAAAATAGAGACAAGTGTTATATCCGTTTAAACTTGCAAAATTCACATTAATCTTCGTGATTTCTTTATATTTCATAATAGAAAACAAATTGACACACACTCATGCTTAAATACTTTTCCATTATGTTCAGATGAGCAGGGAGTTCTCCCACAGATATGTACCCGGATGATTATCTGTGATAATTTTTTAATTTTTTAGAGTTGAATTAATAATTGTGATTATTTTCATACAGTCTTCGGTTGCTGTCTTTAGTGCTTTAGTTGCTCTCCTGAAGTTACTGGATTTCATGTCATTTATTCTTAGAAAACGATACATGAATCCATAGCTACAAGGGGAGAATGGTTCTGTGTTTAAATAAGATAAAAGGCAGCTGTTGCATTGCACTTACGTATCAAAGAATAAATAGAAGGCACAGGAGGGGGAAGGACTGCTATAAAGAGATTTTACTGTATTGTAGAAGGAAGCCAGTGGAAAATTATTTCCTATTGTGACTGATTGTTGCTTCTCTGATAATTTGCTTCTCGGGTTGCTACCCACGTGCTGTAGCTGCGCAGCTCCGTGACACGTAGGAGCAATTGTGGGTTGGGTTTTTTTTAAATGCTGATTATCTGGAAATTTACCGTCTGGTTTGAGCCAAAGTTTGTCAGAAAGAAAGTACAGTCAGACATTCTCCAAGGCAGGGCAGAGAGAAAAAGGAAAGCACAGAGGTCACCGGGAGGGGTGGCAGCATATTAGGAAGTCGGTGGCATTTCTCTGGCTGTGCACTGAGGAGAGAGTTGGAGTCCGTGGCTCAGGAGTTTCAGATACCATATTTGCTCTCCCAACAGTCACGGTGAAAAGCAGCAGAGAAAGAGCATATTTATTTCTGTAATACACTAAAGTTCTAAGGGGTCATATACTCCATCAGGAGGTAATTGACAGCACGATCAGATAACTGAGTGCATTCCTGTAAATAGAAAAGGAAAGGAATTTCAGTTAGGAAATTCACTTACCAAAAGGGAAGAATGCATTTATCAATACACCCTGCTATAAAGCTAGGTCTAGGACTCTGTTATCATCTTCATCAAAAATTCCTGTTCTCTTTTAGGCATGAAAAGCAACTTTTAAATGGCGAACCAAAGATCTATTGAATTTTGTATTTATTATTAAAGACAATCACAGAGGTTTTTAATGTAACTTTTAATTACTTACAAAAATAGCCCCATGTGCTTCGTTTGTAAAAATGCACTACACATCCAATAAACCTGCAGCACTTGTTTGTAGTTACTGAAGTATATGTTACTGAATTCTCAGGCAGCTGGAGTTATTTGTGACTGGTAGTTGTCACAAGGTTAAAAAACATTCAGCATTTACAAATACCACAGTAAGTTTATACAAACTTACTTCTAAACAATTGTAATGCCACTCTGGTACCTGTTTTAAAGTGTCATGAGCTATTTTATTAATTTCATAATGATCTAGTCCAATTTAAGTAGTTTCTGTATTTGTATCACACGACTTTCTGAAACTTAATGTTTAGGTCACTCACTGCAGGTGAACTTATTTCTGGTTCAGAGCAAGGCATGGAGATTCAGCATGGGGCATGGAAAAACTCAGTCCAGCAATTTGTAAATGTTGTGACTACGTCAGACGTCACACTGGGGAGAGGTGGGCAGTCTTGTTAACAAAAGACAATGCTACCAGTCGCCTTATCATAAATCAGTATATAGCAAAAGTAACTTCTGTGGATACATGTACATTGTTTACAGAGTAACTCAGTAGAGAGCAAAATGCTTTAATATTTTACTGCCCGCCCTCTAAAATTACATTTCTAATTACTGTAAAATTGAGTTAAATGTATGTTTCCATTTATTCTGCAGTGCTAAGATCCACAGCTCCAGGTAGCTGAATATACCATGAAAAACAAGACATAGGTGTTGTGTGTTTATTTTTACAATTGAATGCAAAAAGAGATCAAAACGTTACACATCGACACACGTGCTCAGAGGGCTGGCTAGACTTACAAGTATTTAATCTGCCTGAAAAGCATTGGACAGAAAGGAGCTCCCTATTCCTAGAAGTTCACAGATAGATCCCTTATACCAATACGGTCTTTTCTTTCTCTGTGTTTCTTTTATCAGGTGCCACAAGGAGGAACACTGAAGCTATCTCACCTGCAGGAAGGCAGGTATATTTTCCAGCTAACTGTGACAGACACTGCAGGTCAGCGGAGCTCTGACAACGTCTCTGTGGCCGTTCTGCCCATGGTTCATTCTGCAGTAGGTGAGAAAATGACCGGAACCACTGCCTGTGTGACACCCAGGGCATGGTGTTCAGAGCAAGGGCCTCTTGGTGGAGGCAGAAGTCTTACTCTCCGTTTCTAGTGTTTTATTTTGGCCCTTGTTCATTACATAATAACGTCTCTCTCACTTCTGAATTGCTGTTTCAAAGTGAGGAAGCAAGCGGGCATCGCTTGGTTGTTAGAGCAGGAATACTGCCAAGCATTTAAAGGTTCGTCCTTGTATTGCCAATAAGCATGCAGGGTTGGAAAAATGAAATCGTGGCACATGTATCGGGCACACCCTAGCAGTTCGTCGTGCAGTCAGACAGCGCGTGGAACATGAGAAGCCTTGTGCTATAGGGCAGACCCAGTTAAAAGTAGGTGTGACACACAGACCAATAATAATATTGGCCTGTGTCCGTAGCCTGAAAGATGGGATGCTTTCTTGTTTTCATGCATTTAAGCATTTCTGTGTAATGGTTGTTACTGAAGCCTTACGCTACTGTGGAAACCGAAACTGGAACTGACCCATCTATTCTACAGCTCTGAGCTCCAGAAACATGTAAAAAGCATAAAAGGTAGAAAGTAAGTTATATTTCAGTGGCTGTCAACTCTGTGCTTTTTAATGTAGTAACTTCTAATTACACTGTAATTAGCAAGTTGCTAATATAGATCTGCTGCTCTGGCACCAAGGTTAAATAGCAGCTGAACCCATGAAAACTTTGCACAAGTGCAATATCTCTACATGAGAGGGTAGTCCCAGTGGCAATAAATTGGTATTACAGAAAACCAGTTAAGAATCTGGTTAGTAACACCTGTGTTCCACTATTGGATGATAGAGTTTAATTCAGCTAAAGCAGCCCAAGAGGTTTGCTAATTTATTTATTTGCTGCTGTGGGTATCTGTGGTGTCTTTTGGGTGCATACAGAGGATTTGCTGCTGTCCTTTTTTATTTTTCTTTCCAATGGCCCGAGTCTGTTGGCAATTCAAGTGCTACTGCTGTAGTTAAACCAGTCCACGGTGCCTTAAGGCATAGAATCACAGAACGGTTTGGGTGGGAAGGGACCTTAAAGACCATCTAGTTCCACCCCCCCTGCCATGGGCAGGGACACCTTCCACTAGACCAGGTTGCTCAAAGCCACATCCAGCCTGGCCTTGAAGACAGCCAGGGATGGGGCATGCAAGACCAGTGCTGCTATCACTCCTGAAATTTAGGAGATGCATTTTCTAAGTATGATTTTAGGGTTTTAAACAGGTGTCTGTGTTACTGCCATACTTTCCTTAGCATTGCTCAGCTTTTTGGTACATAGCAAGGTAACAAAGGCTGTGACTTGCTTATGCAAATTGATCTGCTGTTACAACATTAACCAAACACTGAATTTGATAGTGCTTTACAAAGCAATGAACTACACAAAAGCGCAGATGTAAATAATTGACCTCGATAATTACAAGATCAATTGTATGTCAAGAATGGATTTCAGGAAAGCTTGGAGTATGCAAAATGAAGTGTCCAGAGACAGTCCCTGTTTCCAGGAGAACCTAAATATTAAAGCAGGCAGCAGGCAGTTCTTTGGTGAAGGTCACTTGAAAGACTTCGTGCTCACTTGCATCTGGCATGTGCTGTATTGGAGTCAGTGGATTGCTTACGGGAGTGAATGATGAGCATCCTTTTGGTGTTTTAATGAGGTTGCAGAAAACATTCCATAAAAGATCCCATATAGTCCATATGTGTGCACGTAAGGTAACATATTGTCAAAAGTACAGAGTGAGTATGTAGTAGGAATTCTGTGTTGGAGTAATGCCGTTACAACCACAGAGATGTAATTTATTTCAGGACAGTTTTGGGTCTTGTAAGCCTGGGAGTCTTTTCAGCTTGGGCCAGCAGAGTTTAAAGTGCTCTAGGAGTGCTGCAAAAGGTGTAAGGTGCTACAACCTCCAGGTTGAGTATTCTTATAGTAAAGAGATTGCCAGAATAATGATGAGGGTGCAAGGAACAGCAATGAGCTATATTAGCTTCTGCATCAATGTAGCATCCTATGGCTGAGCCTGGCCTTCCTTCAGCATTCTGCCTTGTTCATGGTCCTTTTTGACATAGTGTGGTTTTGCTTTTTCCTTGGTACTGCAGGTTTTGGTCATTGACTCACTATTTACTGCTTGGATTTTGGTAATGTGTGAATTGTTTCTCAACAGCCTGTGTCGGGGTTTGCTCTCGCTACCAGTTTATCTGCGATGATGGCTGCTGCATTGACATCACGTTTGCGTGCGACGGCGTGAGACAGTGCCCCGATGGATCGGACGAAACTTTCTGCCAGAGCTGTAAGTGCACTGGGCCACAGTGTAGGTTGGGAAAGCAACTGCGGACTGAATGACCAAAGGGAAACGATGCCCCTTCTGCGGCCTCTCTTCCCGAGAGCAGGCAGCTTGCATCCACCATGGAGCCTTCCACTGGACATAGTACATGGGGAGGATTCATGTCCGCACACAGCAGATGCTCAGAAATTAACTCCCCTCTCTTCAAAGCATATCAAAACTGTCCAAGGTGCCCAAATGACAGATGATCTGTTAGAGTTCCCAACATTTAAAAGATCAGTCCTTTACTTGCATGATGACTTTGGAAACAAGGACCCTGGTCTTGGATCTAAAAGGGTGTCTCAGAGGTGACTTCTTCAAAGTGCAGTTATGCACCTCACAAGAATCTGAAAGGCTGGAAGTGTGAGCACCAGTTGATTCACCATCGCTCTGTTGGCTTTCATTAGTCATCCTCAGTGTGTGCCCATGCTGAGCTAAGTGAACAGGTATCAACAGCGGGCGAATGCGCGCGATGGCTAACGACTTCCGTTGATATTTCAGTTGCTGGATCTCACTTCAGGGTTCACATGTGTCCTCTTGCTTAGGAGCTGACAGCGGGTGATTGTCAACTTGCTATCTGTCTTCAGACATATTTCATCATATGTCTGAACCTGAGTCACAGGGTCTTCCATGAGGACACTCCCATTCCATTCAATTCTATATAAAAATTCCAACTTTTGTTTCTGTTAACACAGTCGGCCCAGGCCGGAAGGCGGTGACTCACGCGGCTCTTGGCACTACCCAGCAAAGGACTGCAGGACTGACAGAAAACACAGGTGAAGGCCTCTCTGCAGAAAACACCCTGAAAGCCACCGCCAGAAATCAACCACTTCTTTCCGTGGATGTAGACATGTCTAACCAATCGCTTTCTCAGGGACCAAAGAAACCCATCAGTGGATTTGTGCCAGGTAAGAATTGAAATGGACCAGTTTCAATAAATCTTTCTCTCTTGAGGAAGATAATCTCTTGTACCTTTAACTAAATTGACTTTTGATGCCTGGCTGAGAGTAAAAATTTGCAAATGTACAAAATGCAAAGAAACTTGTAATAATTCAGTTACAACTGGGTGTTGCTTTATAAGGTCAGGTCTGGTTCTTACCAGGTGCAAAGAGAAAGTTAAAATGGAAAAAGGCTAGGAAAAGAATACAGTCTGAAGGAACAAAACCTGCAGTGAGCTAAATACAAATTCTGCTACAGGTTCAGCTGTCTAAGCCGATGTATAAGGCCTCTTAAATCTGTAGGGGGGGTACCTTCAGTGGAACATAACGAAACACGGTTCAACTTAGGTGAGAGTAATTGCACCTCTCCTAATGCTAATCAATGACATTTTTTTTTCCCCTGAAACAATATCTTGATTATTATGGGCACTTTTTTCTTTTCCTGAAGCGCGCCTCCAGGGCAGGAGAAATCTTTTATCACTACAGAGAAGGCTCAGTCTTTGGTAACAAACAACCCCCGGTCCCCAGTAATGTTCTCCATAGTGGCTGCAACCCTATTGTGAGTCAGTGTGCAGTGATGTTACAGGCCGAGTCACCAGCTCTGCCCTGGTAGAACTCCAGAAGCTGCAGTGAAACTGGTATGTCTTTTAAGGTTCTTGCTGGTGAATTAAAATGATATGAAATGGCAATTGAATGAAAGCAGAACTGTGTGCACAGAGCCTAAAGTGGGTGTGAGACCTCCCACTTGTATTTCTTCAGAGTTCAGATGGATTCTTGCTGCCCAAGATGCAGCTATTTATAAACAGCTTTATTTTCTTGGTAGAGCAGAGCAGTGCTCAGTGCCCTCTGCTGCTGACTCTTGTGAAGGGCACTTCCCCAGCTGGCACTTAGATGTTTCTTCACATGCTTGTACTTCATCCGTGGAGACCGCAAAGGGTGTCAAAATAACGATCTTCCAGAATTTGGCTGCCTCG